TTGGTTTATAACTGGTTTATAACATAAAGCATAAAATAAATATCCAGAAGTACATACTGACAAAAAGGAAGGAAGAAAGATCTCCCACACACAAAAAACAATTCCAAATAACGGATTCACCTATAAGGAGTGAGAGCATAATCCCAATCTTTTTGTGTAGGCTGCAAATAGTGACTTTCATCCGAAGAATGCAGTATGGAAAGGGAGAAAAAAACAAAAGAGTAACTTTACAGTGAAGAAATCTGTTAAACGTTACTTCAAGCCTGGTAATCAAGGTTAAAACATTAAGGGTGATTAAGTCATGTTGATAGAATATACCCTTGATATGACATGAAGAGAACGACACTTCTATTATCTTCCTCCAAAAACACATAATCCAAGTCTAATCATAAAAAAAAAAAAAAAAAAAAAAAAAAAAAAAAATTCCTTGAGCACACAGTTGATTCTAGGACTGAGGCAGGAAATATACCAGATGAGCTTGGAGCATCTTGTCAGAAAGTAGGAAAATACTCAAAACAAAACTAAGCACAACAATAGGGGTATGCCAAGGGAATACAGGAGTCAACTGAAAAGCTCCTGGCCAAGTGATATGGCTTATGTCTTGTAATTTCAACCACTCAGAAAGCTGAGATGGGAAGACTGAGCCCAGAAATTTGAGAGCAGCGTGACTAACACAGTGAGATCCAATTTTCAAAATAATAATAATACTAATAATAATAATAATAATTAGCTGGGTGTGGTGGTATACTCCTGTAATCTCAGGGATGCCAAGGTGAGAGGATTACTTGAGCCCAGGAGTCTAAGGCCACAGTGAGCTATGATCATGCCACTGGACTCCAGTCTGGGCAACAGAGCAAGACGTTGTCACAAAAAAAAAAAAAAAAAAAAAAAAAAAAAAAAAAAAAAAATCAGGAAAGTCCCAATTGAAGGACATTCTACAAAACACCTAACCAGTACTCCTTGTCAAAGCTGTGAAGGATATAAAAACCAAAAGTACATGAAACTGTCACAACCAAGAGGAGCCTGAGGAGACATGACTACTAAATGCAATGCTGCATCCTCAATGAGATATTGGAATAGGAAAAGGATCTTAGGGGAAAACTAAGGAAATCTGGATAAAGCATGAACTTTATTTGATAATAATGCACCAATATAGGTTTATTGTTACAAATGTACCATACTAATGTAAGATTCTAATAATAGGAGAAAATGAGTGTGGGGTATAAGAAACTCTGTTTAGATTTTCTTTATAGTAAAATATAAAACGATATTAAAATAAAGTATATTTTTAAAAAGAAGCCTACTGTTAAATTACTATTTAATCAAAGACAATGTCAACATTAGTGAATCAAATACCATACATCATTTTAAAGTCATTTAGAATTTAAAAATTAAATTATATGTATTTAACATATTTGGGGAAAGTATCTGCAACTTCTGTCACAGGCAAGGAAATAACAATAAATATGTAAAGAGTTCCAAAAAAATCAAGAGTAAAAAGAAAACTCTGACAGCAAATGGACAAGATATATGAACAGAGTGATCTAGCAAAATAAATTTAAATGACCACTCAATGCAGAAAAAGATGAATATCTCACATATGTTGTGAGAAATGCAATTTTAAATGATACTAAGAACTGTGCTAAGTGAAATAGCTCCCAATAGCCATTATCTATCTCACTACCATGAGACAGGCAAGAATCTAGAAGGGTAACAACACACTGCTGATAGGGTTGTGGGAAACAGGCACTCTCATAGGTTTTTTACAAACACAAAAGGCAGGGGAATTTGGCAACATACTTGAAAATTACAAATTACATATACCTTTATTCTCTGATAAATGAATTCCATGTAGAAAAATAAAATGACCAAAATATTATAAGACTAATTCCCAAGAGTATTCATTTTAGCAACATTTATAATAGCATTGGAAAAATAAACCAAACAAAAATGGTAACTATTATATAAAAAGACTGAGAGGACAAAGAAGAAAGATTTCTCTGAAAACACTTTGTTTCATATTTTTAACCTAAGATAGATTTACCTTCAAGCTAGTAAAGTATGATCTTCAGGGCATCTTACTTGCATCTGCCCCTTCCAAGGGTTTAGGAAGGACTCTAACAATGTGTTCTCATGGTAAAATATTTTCGTCAATGTTTTAAAGTAAAATATTTTTCCATATGTTTCTTAAAGAGTGATACCAAAATTGTATAAGCTTTAGGCTCATCTAAATGTTATCTGATCTGTAGATTTCAACTTTGGAATCATGTAAAAATGCTTTATGTAGTTAAAAAAAAAAAAAAGTAAAAATAAATTAAAAAAGAAAACAAACCAACAACATTTCAATTGTTTTAATTTGATCAATATCACAATCCTCATTCCAGAACACTAAAGATTAGTACCCTAGTGAAAAGCAAACTATCATCCTTGCTAAAATTATCAGTATAAGAATATAACTCTATTTCCCTATCTTCCCAAATGGAATTTTTTACTTACTAGGCAACTAATGAAAATGTTCGGGTCCCTTTACCAGCCTTTTAATTGACATTTAAGTTTGATTTTTAAATGAATTGTAATTTTTCATGATTATCTGCAGGCATGTACTTAGAGACAAGAAGAGTGATGCAATGGAGAAAGAATACTGAACTAAGCCTCAGAAACTTGAGTGCTAGTCAAGCATCAGCCTCTTAAACATATTGATAACACTGGTCAAGCCATTACACCTCTTAGACTCTTCATTTTCTCATAGAAAAAATAAAATCCAAGCAAAGTGTTATACTTAGTGTGTCATTCTTATTGATATGTCTGATGTGTTTCCCCCCTCAAAGAAACTGATTTTTTTTTCCTAAAGTAATACATTATCAAATACCATGTATGAGAGCATGTCAAATAACTGAACTGGAAAAGAGCATCACCATTGCAGACTACAAAAAATGCCCCATCTGTGTCCATGCAAGAAAGGATAGTACTGGTTGTTGCTTACCGTTGTTTCTTCATTGATGAGAAAGCTGGTTTCTCTGCTGCTCAGGCTCTGCTAACAGTACCAGGGAAGATATAATGTTATTATTAATAGTGCAGGCGGAGCAAAGGGAACTTTTACATTTCAGTAACAGAAACTCTGTAATCTCTATGCAGAAACACTTAATCTGGAACCATGTTAAATCATATGCAAAACTGTAGGCATATATATATATACACACACACACACACACACACACATATATACATAGGCATGTGTGTCCATGTATGTGTCCTATGTATCTGTAAATGTGTCTGTGGGGCAGGGTGTGTTTGTCTGTGCCGTGAGAACAGACAGTGAGCTTCAGAGAGAAGTAGTATTTGGGAGGTAGCTTTCTCAAATCATAAAAAAAATCAGATACAAGAAATGGTTAAGAACTACTACATTACTGAGAAATAACAAGGAGGTCTAATCTTTTTATGATGCTGCATCCTGAACAGGACCAACACGAAGGGCAGAATTAATTGGCTATTTTACGCCCTTCAACAATTATTTGAAATCATTAAAGGGAATACCTTGGAAAATACACCATCAGGATTCTTAAGAATTTGAATTTATAAGTCCTCCAAAAAAAGCCATACATGTATAAAAATACACATAAACCACTTATAATTAACACAATAGGGATGCCTCCCTCTGTGTATTGGGTAGATTCCCAATTCCTCAGGTTACATGATGGTCCACACACCACAGGACACAGACCTGAGATAACACCCAATCACTTCTCAGCAGTCTCTAGTGACAGGTAGATATGGAGAGACAGCAACTAACAGAAATGATTGGAAATTCATGTCCAGATTGGAATTCACTTACCTTATTCTTGGAAAAATCACAATCAGTATCTCATTACACCCAAATAATGCTGGGCAAATCAGTTTTCAAAATAGCAGATAAAATGTGCGACAGACATATTTAAAACATACTCAAAGAGAACCTTGGAAATATACCCAGTGCTACAAAAGTAAAGTAACAGAATGTGGCAAAAGGCAGTAATTTCTCTGTGTTCTTTAAAAGAGAATGAAAGATAATTTTGAAAACATACAATTTTCATACTACTATATTTAATATAAATTACAAGATAATGCAATCTATTGTACTAAAGTAATACTGAAACGGTCGGGGGGAGGGAGTGGGAAGACTGAGAATCTGTGAGTAAATACAGGCCTAAAATACAGTTATAATTAGAATCCACTTATATGTGATTATATCTACTTGTGGACCTTGAATGAATTCCACTAGCTTGTTTAAATACAACAGATCGCAAATGAAGTTAACAAGCATCTTGATCACTTAATTCTGAAATAGTGGCCTCTAAAAATACACTGTGCAGCTATATTTCTACTAAGACAATAAATAAATTTATTATAGCTTCATTTATATTGACTCCTGATAAGTTTTTCCAATTATCCTAGAGAAATGTTAGTTGTTTTGCTTACAGAAGGATAGAAGAAAACCATATATTCAAAAGCAACCAGGCTAGTCACTTTACAAGCTCTCCCTTTAGGAAAAATCTTTGTTCTGATTTCCAATCAAAAGACATTGTTATAACTTCACTTTGCAGAATGTAAAATAAAATAACTATTTTGCTGAGTATGTCATTGTCTCATTTCTTACCAAGCTTAGTCTTAAGCAAAACGAGAATCCTTGATATACTTTCAGACACAATTCTTAAAACAGCATTCTTAAAGAAATATTAAACAGTGAATAAGGAGCTTTAGAATCAGATTACCTGTGTTCAGAATCCCAGCTTCAAAACATAGGAGATATAACAATAAAACAATTTATATAGTTTCAGTTTGCCTCATAACTTTTTTCTTCAATTATATAAAACCCATTAAATATGTATGTAAAACTGATTACATTTGTAAACTTGAGCAAGTTAACCTCTCCAAACCATAACTTCCATACAGTGAGATTAAATAATACAAGGGAAGTTCTCAATAAATTTTGGCTTTTTAAAATTAATGTTTGTTACTATCGAGTAATCATATAATAAGTATGTTAATAATGTGATACATGTTTAATTCACATGCATTTTCTGATTTCCAAAAAGATTGTAACAATGTCCAATGATGGACTCATACTAATTGTAAATCAGAGGTAAAACTAGAATAGCTCTTTAAATATTTAAGCAATCATGAAAGTACAGAAGACCCTTTCAAAGTATAAAATAATTTTGAAATAATGAACCTAGAATTCCTACATATTCTTCTGTCTTGTCAAAGCCTAAACATTCATAATATCTATAAATTTGTTGCTGGACAAAATCCATTGATTTCTAGTCAATTCTGCCTCAATCCAATAGTTGAATGAATATACTATAATACTTATTTTTTTGAAAATTGCCTGCCTCCTGTCCATAGATGGGGTGAAAAACAAATGACTGCAATGTGTAGAGCCTGTTTTTATTGCATTTGAGTGTCAGAAAAAATATAATTTAGCATTGAGGAAAGTGAAATAAGTTGTATTCACTTTTTTTAACTTTTTATTTTGCAATAACTATAGCTTCACAGGAATTTGCCAAAATAATACACAGAGATCCCATGTAACCCCTACCCAGTCTCCTCCAATGGTTATTTTCATCTTACATAACCATAGTAAAATATAATAATCAGGAAGTTGACACGAGTAATGTGTCTGTAAAGTTGAAAGTAATTTTGTCACATTGGTAAGTTTGGGTAAGACTCAGCCCTGTCAAGGTATAGAACTATTTCATCCACAAAGATCTCCCTCATACCACCTTTTTAAATTTATGTCCATTTTCCTTCCCCTCAACATCCAAGTCCCTAGAAATCACTAATTTGTTCTCCATCTGTATACTGTCATTTCAAGAGTGTCATAAAAATGGAATCATAACATATGTGTTCCTTTAAGATTTTTTTTTCCACTTAGCATAATGTCCTGGAGATCTATCCAAGTTGTGTTTATTAATAGTTCATTCCTTTTTACTGATGGGTAGTTTTACATGATACGATTGTGCCACACTTTAACTATTCACCTGCTATAGGACATTTAGGTTATTTCCAGTTTTGGCTACTACAAATAAAGCTGCTATGAATATCTGTGTTTAGGTTTTGTGGGTGAATATATGTTTACATTTCTGCCGGATAAATCCCCAAGAATATGACTACCCAACTGACATGAAAATTACAATTTAGGTTTTTAAGAAACTGCCCAACAGTTTTCCAGAATGACTGTATCATTTTATATTTCACCAGCAATGTATGAGAGATCTAGTTTCTTTGCACCCTTACCAGTAAGTTGTATTGTCACTATTTTATATTTTAGCTCTTCTAATAGGCATATACTGATACCTACTTAGATCTTATTTTGCATTTCTTAGTGGCTAGTGATATTGAAGTTCTTTTCATATGTTTATTTGCCATCATATTTCCTCTTTAGTGAAAGATCTCAACATGTTTTTTGCCCACTTTCTAATTGGGCAGATTTTTTGTGTAAAATATTTAAATTGTATGGGTTCTTTAAAAATCACAGATACAAGTCCTTTGTCTGATATAGGATATGCAAATATTTATCCCAGTCTGTAGCCTGTCTGCTCATCATCATAATAGGATCTTTCACAGAACAAGAATTCTTACATTTGATAAACTCCAATTTGTCAATGCTTTTCGTTACTGTTTTTGTTTGCAGATATGACATGACTACAAACTCTTCACCAAGACCTAATTTCCAAACAGTTTGATCCATTTTTTCTTCAAAAAATTGTATAGTTTTATGTTTTACATTTAGTCTATGATCAATGTTGAATTAATTTTTATATAAGTTATAAAATTAGGTTAAGTTCCTAAGTTTGCCTACGAATATACAAATGTTCCAGCCTGTTTGTTCCATTGAATTGCTTTTGCATATTTGTCCAAAATCATTTGGCTGTACTTGTGTGGGACTATTTCTGGGATCTCTATTCTATTTCATTAATCTACATGCCTATCCTTCTCCAAATATCACACAGTCTTCATTAGACTGCAGCTAAAAAACAAGTCTTAAAATGAGATAGAGGGTTTTCTCCCACTTTCTTCTTTTTTTCACAATCATTTTCTCTTCTACTTCCTTTATATTTCCATAAAATTTTCTGAATAATCTTGCCTATGTCTATGAAATGTCATACAGACATTTTAACTTATATACCAATTTGAGTTTCCACATTCTTATTACTAGTATATAGAAATATAACTAATTTCTATATAATTTTCTCATTTTTTACAACCTTCTTAAACTCAGTTGTAGGAAATTTTGTTTTTGTCTTTAATTTTGTAGATTTCTTGGGATTTTCTATGTATTTTGTCATGTCACCTGGAAATGGGGAGAGTTTTATTTGTCCCTTTCTGATCTGCATACCTTTCCTTTTATTTTCTTGTCTTATTGCAGTAACTGTCAGTACTATATTTAATGAGAAGGGTAAGTGAGGACATTTTGCCTTGTTCCTGATCTTAGGAAGAAAGTATTCAGTCTTTTACTATTAAGTATACTATTAGTGTAAGTGTTGTGTGGATGCTCCTTATCAGGTTAAAGTAGTTCCTCTCTATTATTGATTTTCTGAGAGTTTGTGTTTGTTTTTAATAAACGGAAGTTAAATTTTGACAATATTTTTTTCTAATAAAAATCACATGATTTTTATTCTTTAGCATTTGGTGAATTATGTCAATTGTTTTTCAAAAAAATGAATGGAGACCAGGCGCAGTAGCTCACGCCTGTAATCTCAGCACTTAGGGAGGCCAAGGTAGGTGGATCACTTGAGGTCAGGAGTTCCAGACCAGCCTGACTAATGTGGTGAAACCCCATCTCTACTAAAATTATAAATATTAGCCGGGTGTGGTGGAACCTGTAGTTCCAGCTTCTTGGGAGAGGAAGGAGAATCGCTTAAACCTGGGAGGTGGAGGTTGCAGTGAGCCAAGATCGCACCACTCCACTCCAGCCTGGGTGACAGAGCAAAACTCTGTCCCTTCCCACACACACACACACAAATGAATGGAGCCTTACATCGGTACAGTAAACCC